GTGTATAGAGTATATATATATATATTTCAATATTTTCACATATATATATATATATATATATATATATATATATATATATATATAAAGAAATATCTCCGCATTTTCCGCATTGTTGAGTGTGTGACTAAGTTTTTCAATTTTTCGAACAAATATTTTATCAATATTATTTTTTCGGTGACAATAAATACCAGATAAACTACGTATAACAATATCACAAACTCTGTTACACTGATGATGGTAAAGTTACCGAAAAAAGCTTTTATGTAAATGTACATATGAAAAATGCAGTCTAAAATAAATGAAAACTTTATTATTAATTTGTATAAAATGAATAATATCGATAAAGTAATTGTTCTAAAAATTGAAAAAGTAAGTTACAAACTCAACGATGCGGAAAATGCGGTGATATTTCTTATTAACTGTATATAAGACGGTCTGAACCCATATATATATATATATATATATATATATATATATATATATATATATATATATATATATATATAGATATATATATATATTTATTTATTTATAGTCAGTCATTTTTTTCCAGTCATTTATTTGGTAAATAAGAAAATCACCAGGAGATCTAAAAGAAAAATAACTTGTGCAGACCACCTTAATTAAAATGTAACTGAGTGAATGTCATATCATAAAAACTAAAAATTTTCAAATGATTAATTCAAATTGGAAAATAAAAATTTTACATCGTTTCTGCAATTGTCTAAAACATTATATAATAGTAACAAAAATCAAAGTAATATCACGAATATGGAATAATAATAACTAATTAAGTTTACAGGACACTTTCGAGAATTTTTGAAGGAGGAGAAAATTGTATGAGCCATTGCGTTTACATTGCAACAAGGATCTAAGCTGATGGACGGTGAAATATTCGGAGGTTAGATTTCTTCAAATATCTCATCATTATTCTGTTTATTTTCAGGAAAATCAGTCAGATATCTGATCTGCTGACACCGCTGTTTTTTCGGTGTTGTTAACATCTTTCATAGCAGATGCATGTCTTGGCACTGGGCAGAGTGTTCGAGGAGTTGGTGTTATCTTTATTGAAGATCCATTCACGAATGACAACTGAGGCAGGCCAGTTTGAAGCAGTCATCACCTTGCCATACTCCTCGGCCGGGACACACAATCTGAATGAGGAGTATTTTATTTCATCATCATTTTCTACACGTTTAGAGGCCGGATAACAGGAAATCAAATTGATTCCTCTATTTTCACAGTGTTTTTCGATTTTGGAACTGTCAGGTAGTTTGACATTCCCAATGTAGAAAACTTTTTTTTTAATAATGGATGCCGTGAAGAGGGGGCTAGTTGTGAGTGATCCTAAAATCTTTCAGGGTCTGTGAGATTTATTTTCATTGATATTTTCTTCAACTTTTTTAGCATTTGGCGGTAAAAATATTGATCTGACTTTTTTCTTACTGCGCTGAACGAGTGTCATATGATCGTCAGAAACATTATCGTCAGATTGTAATTTTTTATTGATATTTTCTTCAACTTTTGTAGCAGTTGGCGGTAAAGATATTGATTTGACTTTTTTCTTACTGTGCTGAACGAGTGTCATACGATCGTCAGAAACATTGTCGTCAGATTGTAATTCACAATCAGTTTTATTTGTTTTTGACACTAAAATATTTGACCATGAAGTATCGATTGTTTAATTTTTAATGCGATTAACATTTGTATCGTAGACATTACACGTAGCAAGATTTGTGCGAGAGTTTGTATCATGCGCGATACTTGAAACGAAATTCGCACCTGTTAATTTGTTTACCAGCGATTTATTTCTATCCAGTATTTCATTCAGCACGGCGGCCATTTTGTCACCTTTTTCATTTATTGCCTCCAACATATCATTCGACATCAAATCAAGTATTATATATATATATATATATATATATATATATATATATATATATATATATATATATATATGCTGGAAGGAGATATATAGAATATAATACAAACGGTATGATAAATCGGTAAAATTTATTACTGTCAAGAATTTGGTCTTTTACCAGCATATATATGTATATGTATTATTATTGCTAACTATATATAAAATTTTCATCAGCACTCCATGTTCATAGAATAAAATAAAACATATATTTTTAGACGTCTTTTAAATTCCATGAGCGTTAGTCTCAAATGACGAAGTGCATCTGGCAGTCTATTCCAAAAAGTTGGTCCTGAAACGACAATATCTCAATTACCAGTTATCAAATTTGTTTTCGGTACATGTTATTTATTTCAAATGGAAGACTTCAATTGCCCATGATTTCTCATTGAAAAATTTTTTATGTATTTATCCGAAAGGTTCCTAGAAGTCAGACCATTTAGGCATTTGAACACCATTACCCCCAATTAGAACATAATTCTTTGCTTTATAGGCAGCAAGTGCAACTCCTATAAGATTGAAAGGCATGGTCAAACCTTAAACCACCAACAATAATTTTCGCATCCTGATTTTGTGCTACCTGCAACTTCGAAATCCATTTATCTGATATTTTGTATAAAAGACACTTAGGATAGTCCAATCTAGTGTTAATAAATGCATGCATCAGTGACTTGAGAGCATCTTTAGTTCAAAAACTTTCTTATTTGACGAATCTGGCGCAGTTGGAGGGACAATTTTTGACCAATTCTGAAACATGTGGGCCCATTGTCAACCTTGAATTGATTTTATAGCTTAGATTTTTAACAGAGCTTAAGAATTCAATTCTACTCCCATCAATGTTAATTGAGGAAGGTTCTACCTGTAATATTTGTTGCCATGTACCAATCAAAATTATTGGTGTTTTTGTTGGATTTGGCTTTAGTCTGTTTGTTTTTAAATACTAACATCATTTATGCATTCAACCAATCAATTATAGTTGAAAGTATCTTTAACGGAGAAGATACTCTAGATATCTGAATATCATTTGCATACGAAAACAAAAAAAGAATTTAAATATTCTTTAAAGATATGAGTCGGTATAGGATTTAATAAACTTGTTTTTGTGGGAGACAAAATAATAATTTCATTGACCTGCTTTTCAGAGAGGATAGGAAACAATTTCAACATGCTAAATATTCTATCACACAGATTAATTGAGGGATATCCAAAAGGCTCAGTAGATTTTCCTACATTTAGTATTTTTATTGATTAATTGATTGGTTGGATGGTTGGATGGTTGGTTGATTGGTTGTTTGATTGATTAATTGATTGACTGATTGATAGCTTGATTGATTTATTGATAGCTTGATTGATTTATTGATTGCTTGATTGATTGACTGATTGACTGACTGACTGACTGACTGGCTGACTGACTGACTGACTGTTTGATTGATTGATTGACTGATTGATTGATTGATTGATTTATTTATTGATTGATTGATTTATTTATTTATTTATTGATTTATTGATTGATTGATTTATTGATTTATTGATTGATTGATTGATTTATTGATTGACTTGCGCTTTTAAAGTTGTATTAAAACGTGGTTTTTTCATAAACCACTTATTAACATTCCAGTTTCATGCCGTTAAGATAAATGGCGTGGAAAATCTTTTAAAAGTCAGACAGACAAACAAACAATAGACATTCTCTCTTATATTTATATCGATAAAAAAATAACTGTTAATAATATTCTTTGTCTTTAGGTGAAAAGTTAAACTAACGCACAAAAATTATGTGCTTAGTTTTCAGTAATGACGTTTACAAGCCGCATGAATCTTGCCATGACGAAATAAACTAGCACGCGAGTAAACTGCATATCGTTAATTAAAGAAATTCCGAAGCGTGTAAAACCGATAAATCGTTAGAAAGAAAACAAACATGAACCCCAATAAAACTTCTGATGGAAAAATAGTGTTAAAACTCTCCGAATTGTTAAACCTGGGGGGATAAAAGTCGAAAAGATATATTGATTTCATTATTTTAAAAAAGGTTAAAGGTCTTAAATCTATTCTAACATTCAGAGACAACAACACACGAACATATTATGAATACTTGCTAAACGATGTATCTAACGCTCGAAACACGTAATAGGTGGAATCCATTTTTCGTATTCGAATCTGGTCGCCAAACGCTCTGCGAAACCTTTGACCATTCGGCCATCACGTTGCTCAATAAAAAATTTTACATTTAACTAGCATTTTAAATAGTTATAGACGAAATTCAAACTAAAATTTAATCAAGAATTTTTCCTCGATCAATTTTTAATTTCATTTTAAAAAGCAAATTTCATGTAGGCTAGAATGATGGTTTTGTTAAACTTGTCAACAAGTTTTGTTTAGAATGTACCTATGTCAGTGTTGTTAGCTCAGACGCTTAAAAGCCCAGTCTCGTGCCGCTTATTGTCGGTAAGGTCGCTGGGCGGTTGCGGATCGCACCGGGTGACACAATCCTAGAGGAGTGCACCATACGAAAAATACAGAGCAGAAGCTGTTTGGTTCAGTAGTATTTCATAAGCGGATAAACTATCATAGGCCTTATTGAATAAACTCATATCTAAAAAGCAGCAGAGTCAGGAGTCTAGGGTGCCACCATAATCCATTCTGTCTATCTAGTAGTATAATTTTGTAAACGGTGTTACAAAATATTATTATCTTTTTTATTATACATTCTATGTTGGACTACAAAAAGGACAATAAGAAATTCACATTGCAGTGTGGACGTAAAACGAGAAAGTGAACAACGTAATGAACACATTGCGTAGCATGTCAACTAGTGTCTACTATGCTTTACCCAGCAATACCTGAAGACTAAATGCATAACAAATGACAAAGTGGTGACTAAATTAAAGACCTTAAAACTTTTTGCACGAAAAGAGCAATTACTTAATGAGCGTGCAATTGAACAGGCACTTTCGGGCGGCATGATGGCCTAGCGGTTAAAATCGCCTGGTGCTATTTTGCAGTGACCAGGTTTTATTCAATTATATATATGACATAAAGATCCCCGCCTATCAAATGCCTTCGTATGTGATGCGTATTTGTTTGTGGCGTGTTGTTGATGCCTCTGAACCTAGGAAAAACATAATAGACCTTTACCTTTAAAAATGCCTCTGAACCTAGGAAGAACACAATAGACCTTTACCTTTAAAAATCAGACCAATGTGGAATTTTGGCTGAAAGAAGATAAAGTTTCAAGTGAGAATGGCGGGGGACAACTGAGAGACGTTAGACGAGAAGAAACCAATAATGAGATGCTGGAGTATACTGATCATTTTAAACTCTAGACGAAATTAAAGCAATCAAAGAAGTAGCCGATGTTTGTGGTCGTTTAACCCAAGAATCTGCTATCGGCAAGTCATGAAGAGTCACTGACGTCAAAATTAAACTCCTTCCTTAACAAGTTATCTAAAAATGATCTTTTCAACAAGATACCAAAATTTAGAAGGCGCCTGAACGCAGCTGATATGGATCTCTACAAAGCTATTTGTGGAGATCACCAAGTCATCAAACAGTGACCAGCCTATGTTGATGTTTTGCATTTTATAGCTGAATAGGACTTTCTAGATTCTCTTCCAATACTGTCTCTTAATCTACGTGTCTGTGACTTCATGTAGGTAAGCGGAGCTTTTCAAAACTGAAACTGATGAAGAATTTTTTACGATCCACCACAGGATAGTCACGTATCATGCACAGCAACGAACCAACTATCATGATAAATGAATATTTGCTTTACTTTGACTAGATCATCTTAAATGAATTCATTTCATCATGATGATCCAACATCGACAGCCGTCGCAAAATATACACAACTATCGCAAAAATAATGTATACGTTTCAATTCGAGTAAGCAAGCTACCGTCTTTTTATAGAGTCCTATAAATGAAACACCTTTCAGGTTTCAGCTATTAATATCCATTCGTTAACATTGCCTAAAAGAACACTTAAAACCACTTCGAAGCCAAATTAATGATGTCACAAACGTTACAAGCATACTAAGAAAAATGAATACGATTATTAGAACATTTGATAATTTGTTCAACAAGAAAATATAGAAACAAATCTTAAATTAGTGGAAGAAAATGCGATTCAAAATCAAAAGTAAAGAAATTTCAATCATCAAATTAGCATGATCAACGAGAAATGATGTTAAACCTTCCTTACATTAATGAAACATGACATGCTGAATTTATTTTAAGAAAAAAATGGTTCACAAAAATGAAAAATTACAATAAACTTAACATAAACGGCAAATTTGCTCTTCGGCCTGGTCACACAAATATTACACAACAAACAAAACAGATAACTTATTGTTACACTACTCAGTCTCCGCATTTTGAAAAGGCAAAGGAATAAAAGACTGGACAAGTGTCGTACACTTACAAATCATGTCCATTCTTTTTCGATTAAACGCCAACAGAGCCAACGAAATTAAAAACCTTTTACATATCAAGACATATTACACTAAAAATAAATGTCAAGATTAAGATTTACATTAAGTAGTTGGAGTTGACCGAACTCAAAACAAAACTTTAAAAGTTCATTCATCAATTTTTACATCAGGTGGGAAATGTATTGTCGGGTAGAGAAATTGAAGTAACCATTTTATTGTCTGCAGTAACGTTTTCATTTTAAATTTTGATAACATGATATTTACGAATGTCCTATCAATACTATACTCCGCATAAATCTGTTAACAGTTTTGTTCATTAATAACAATCAACAACAAAACAACAACTCGACAACATGGACAAAGGTAATGAACACGTTTTTTATACAACATTTCCACCAAGCAGATTTTAGCGCAAAACACATATATGAATGGAAAATAAGACGAATAATTTGAACGATTTAATAACTTATCGTTAAAACGAATGTTAAATCTTAATGAATCAATCGTCCATACTAATTGACTAAAATTAAAAGTTAATCATTAAGTGAGAGCCAGGCGTCATCATCCCAGCCCGAATTTTGAGGATGTTTGTTTTTGGAATTCTTCACTTCAAGTTCATTGAAATCAATGAGATCGGAGGGAGGCTTGGAACTTTTAGGATGCGTCGTAACTTTCCTCGCGGCCGATGATGACGGTACATCGTTCAGTTCATCGTCGAAACCCCCCCAACCGTCGTCATCATCATTTGTACGCTGTTGCTGCTGGCAGTTTGAAGATTTTTTCAAATGCTTGTTCGACACATTGGAAGCATCGGCAGTGCTCGTCCATTTGTCGTCCCAGGTGTCACTGACCTGCCAACCGTTGGTCTCATCATCTGCACCATATGATTGATAACTCCCCCTAATCAAATACGAACGTTTCGAAAAATTTTTTAAAATGGTTAAATAATTTCATCAGCAATACAATTAATTAATGGCTTAAATGACTTAATATTGAAATGACAAAAAACAACATAGCTGGGTTGTGCATGTAGGCAACAGTTTCAAAATAAAATAATTACATTCACAAAGCAAAAGTTATGAAAAAAAATTTTTTATCTGAAAAATCTTAAATAATAAATCTTCATATAATATTATACAGCTTTTTAGACATGGTATGATAGCAAACATCCCACAAAATACAACAGCGAACGAGACAATAGAATAAAAAAACATCTCCAGCTAACTGGTCATAAGTGGCCCCGTACTTGCTCTTGTTTGCAGATTGCTGTTGTGTCTTATCAAGAGAAGCATTGTTGCCACTCTGCTGATCACCAAACAACGTCGAGAAGCCCTTCATGCCAGCAACTTGTATCTGTTAGAGTTCAACGGCAACTGATGTAAACAGTTGATCAATTATTATAACATAAAACCTGGAGAAAAATCTGATTAATGTACGGGCAGCTTGAAGAGAAAAAGTTTGGCGTGCAAAGTGTATGATGATGATATAATAATAACTATAAAATAATGAATGCTTCATCAATTATAAGATGGGCTAATTAAAGGCCTGGTGACGCTACTTACGGTTGTTCAAATGAAATTAAGCATTAACATGAAATGAATACATAATATAATAATAAAACTAGTAAAAATAACATTAAATAATAATATTTTTTAAACAAAAATGTACACAAAACATTGATTTGAAATAAAAAATGAAACAGAAATAAACTGAAAATGACTTTATTAGCGATGCCTGATACTGATTGTGAGACATCATTCAACAAGTTTTTATCCTTCATCTGCAAAGCAAAACTGTCAACTTTGTAATGTGTTTAACTTCATGTTAAAAACGATTCTGACCATGATAAGTAAAACAACGTAAATGATGCTGAAAACAATGTAAAAGAAGAAAAATGTTTAAAACTGAAATTACACAACAACGTATGAAAAAAAATTTAACTGACATTAATAATAGTTAACAAACATTCAGATAAGCAAAAGAGTTGGTGAGTTAACAGTTAGCTAATCTACCGTGCCAAAAATACTTACTAACTTTTTCATTAACCAGGTTTCCAAATTCTTTTGTTTTCTGTGATGCCGAGACTGCCAGTGTGGAAGCCTTACAATGCAAATGTTATTAATATCAGGCCTTTTCTATAAATAGCATCATCATAATACTATGGGACTTGTTGCGCAAAGCAATTTATATCCAGACTTGTCTGCTGGAGTACTCATCGATAGTACAGAAATTTATTATGCAGCTCTGATAAAAACAGAACTGTTTGCAAATGATATTCAATACCTACTTTAAATTTTCGTGCCACAAAGGCTGAACTATCCTCACCACAACACTCGACGAACATACTCATTATGTATGCACGTGCAAGCACCGCATCATGCGTGCATGGCTTATGATGGTCTTTGAGTTTCGAACAGACATTATTTAAACCAGGCCATTGCGAAACTGCACAAAACCAGGCACTTCTACCGACTGATCTAGCACACCAACCACAATATTACAAGAGTTCTACATTATTTGTCAAGAAGTTGTAAAATGTTGATTGCTAATTTAAAGGCAAAATATAAATTCACCAAATTTAGAATATATTTATTTAATATCTACAAACGTAACGAATCTTAAAAATATCTGAATGCACCAACCAACCTTTTCGGAAGCATGGGAGGCTAATTTTGATGCACCCAGAGTGAAACTGGACCAACCCTGAAAAAATGCATATTCACATTTCAAATGACAACCGAAACATTAAGAGGCTGGTACAATTGAGTTGCCAAACCCTAAAATGCTTATAGTCAGCTCAAGTAGTCATTGCATTGTATCACACGTAAAAAGCAAATGCAATGATGAAAACTCAATACAAAGCAGAGACCACATCTGCTTACGAACCTCTGATAATGTAGACCAGTAGTCACTATCTTTCCTTGTCTGCATGGGTGTGCTTCCGAATCCAACATATTTGCCCCCTTGACTAGGATGAAGGTTGCTGTCATTGGGGTCAAGCAGAGATTACGTGTTGGTGAAAAGAATGCAAATTACACTCTATAAAAAATAAGAAAAAACCTTTTTTACCAATAAAATTTATTTCTTTGTCGCTTAAATTTATTGCTTACATTTATTATTTAATTTTAATTAATTCGTACAGTCATCTGAAAATTCAACTAGCCACATTAATTGTATTTTTAAATTTATTCGCCAGAGCATTTCAGTGAAAAAACCACACCTGCAGATATCAAGTCTTATAAAATTGTATGCGGTGGCAGGCTTGTGAAGTCGGCTGCTCTTGGATTGTAGTTCAATTAAGTTTATTAGATTAAATTAAATTTAAATAATGCTCATGGAATAGGATAGGCTTGTTGGATTTTGACCTGTCTTTAACCATCCTAGACCCAAGGACAGGCTTAATAACAAAACAATCACAATTTCTTCAGTTCGACAGCTTGTTAGATAGTTTATCCCAAAATACACCTACCTTACAAATTTCTACCAACTAGGTGCATCGGAAGTGGATGGAAATTATAAAATCCAATATCACGTGACACTGTGACAGAAAGACAAGGATATTAAAGGAAGGAAAAAGCTTAAAAACAGTTTGTTTGTTGATGAAATAAATAAATACACCTAGCCATACAAGGCAGCAAAGCCCCAACTTATCACAGTTGCAGAAAATATTTTGGAACAGGCTAAAAATTCAATCTAATTAAAAATGAAACCCCACCCCTCTAACAACCATTACTCAGATAATGACGTTAATAATAACTATTTTTGTAACTAAAAATTTTACTTCTTAACTTTCTCAGCTATCAACACGTACGCACGCACACGCACGCACGCACATGCACAATAACTTACTCAGGTCTGTTGGCATTTTCTGACTGCCTCCTGGCAAAGAAATCTTCTTTATGCTTTGATAATGCCTCTCTAATGTAACGTGAAATATCAACAACTTTCACAATTGTTATTAATTCAAAATCATCATTATTAATACAAAAAATCGAAAACCACTATTAAAAACAAGTAATAATATCTTTAATTTTAGATGTTATTTACCAAAATATACTGAGGCAAAAATAAGCTGAAAATGTAATAGAAGGCTGCCTAACTTGCTAAACCCGAGTGACTCCTCCATGGACACCCCCGAACTGACAGAGTAACTGTGTACATTGGTCATCTTGCTGCCTGCATCTTGATAGCCACCTGCTGCCATATTGTACTCGCTGCTCTTGACAGCATTTCGATCGTCACCACCCTCAAACCGGGGATAACTAACGGATGACGATAACTTAGAAGACAGCTGATGAGGTACATAATTACGAGCTGGTGAACTCTCCATGGACCAACACTGGCCGGCAGCTTCTGTGGAAATCTGCATTTTTTTTTTTATAAAAAACATCAGAAGAAAAATAAAAAAAGGAGGAACGCTTTAAATAGTGAATATTGAAGAACTTTATCTCTATAGAGGGCAGCAGCCTTCGTGTTGTACTTCTCCTGGATGGTCATGCAGTCGTGATAATCATCCTGAGATTCAAAAAATTTGCGAGCCTTCTTGTTGCCTCCAACTTTCATCTTCTCCAGCTCTAAATCTTTCCATTTGTCCATTGTTACAGATCGAACAAAGCTGCAAATAAACATGTCGTGATTATAAAACAAAATTCATTTAGTTTAATTAAAATTTTGAAAATAAACATATTAAGCTGAATTATGAATGGAATGGTATAGAATTAAAAGCAGCACCTGAGATGCACACCCAGGCCTCGGTGCTTTCCAGAACACTCGAGACATATCCAGATGCCGTAGGTCACACTGACCCACTGAGGACTGTGTGTGCCACATTCAAAACATTGCTGGAAATTCATCAAGTTTAACATTAATTTAATTTAACCAAATGAAAGAAGATATTGCATTTAACAAATGGGAAGTGAATATGGAATGTTCATTACTGGATAGCTGAAGGACAGCATTATATAAGCAAATAAGGTGATTGAAAAAAATTGAATCAGTCAATTACTTAGTTTATTCCAATGTGATATGGCTCAAGTTAAGAACAAAAAAACTGACAAATGTGAAGAAAAATTGAATCACAACAACACTCAGACAACTGGGAACTAGATGCATTGAACAGAAAATAGACAGATGAAAGAATATTAAATGCTTGCTATGGCTAAATGGCTTCATTTAATATATATTAATATTTAAATGAAATGAAAATAAAATTTGGAAAACCTAGAGGAAAATATTTCCGACCAAATAAGTAGTATTATTAATGGAATAATACACAATTTACCAATTTGTTGGATAATAATTAACAATAGAAATACAGAGACTGCATGTTTTGGAACCTTCACTTTAACCGCCAAACAAATCATAAAACAAAAAGAAAATCCTTTGATTTTAAACTAATGTCATTTAATTTAAATTATTTTACTAGAGTCCTTTAAAATTTACTAGTCTCTGTGTATATAATTAAGAATAAAGAAACGAAAGAAATAATTACTAACATTATTTTCATCATTTGTTCGTAAATCTTTCAGAACTTTTCTTGTGCGAGGACTTGCCATATTGAATGATATATAATTACAATATATTTGTTGGTTTTTTTTTTTTTTAAATGTGTCCAAGTTATTTCTTAGTGTTAGTCTTATTTGGATTCTAATTTCTTGTGTGACAGTTACTTGTACTTCAACTTTGGACTTCACAAAATCATAAGCTCTTCTATGATATGACAAAACAAACAGAAGACAAAAAAGGAAAAAGATCTTTTTTATTTCAAGTCAGTTCTGGTTGTCTAGTTAATAATTTAATATTGATTTAAATTAAATTAATGTTAAGTTAGTGTTTCTATTGAAGTAGTAAGTTAGTTAGTAGAATAAAAAATTAAAAATAATGATCTTCCACTTTAACTTTATTAACTTAAAAAGTCTCAGAAAAAAAATGGCACTCTCCACCTCACTGGACAAGATGGAGTTCGTCTGATCGACTGGCTCGATCACTCGATTGACAGGAGACAGCTGATGACACGAAGAAAAAAAACAAAAAGGCAACAGTATGTTTCCTTGTCGGTTTGCTATGTAAGAAGGTAAGGATCGACAAAAAATTGAGCAATATTTTAACGCCTAACATTAAAAAGTAACAAAGACAGGAAAATGAACAATCTCAATTTGTAGAGGAGGATGGGAACTTGCAGCAAGAGAAATGATGGTGACGACGAGACACGACCGGCCATTCAATTCAACTCAGAACGAGTCCATGCATTGTATACACTTGGTGTAAAATGAATCGGAGACGTGGTTGTTTATTGAAATTTAGTAAGTAAGATGCTTTGAATTTTAACTGATTTTTAGACAGAAACCCTAAGCCAGAAATGTACACTAAGAATTGGTATAGAATAAAGATCTGTCTGGAATAGGTCTAGAAAACATGCAGAAATTACACAATAAAATGGTTAAAAATAATGAAAATTCATAATCCTTCACCCGGATGTTTGACTTATTTTATTCGTTTCTCAATTTAGGAATTGAAATCAAGTTGACCTGAACGTTGATTCAGAAATAACTGTTGAAGTACCAATAAATTTTAGAACTGCCGTTGCGTAAAATTGGTAAAAAAAAGTTTAAGAATATTACAGTTTTAGAAAGTTGAAAAAATTCTGTAGTAGCCTTAGCCTTACTTATATAGAACGTTTTAATATAACCACTAGGTACAGGGTCGATCCTGGTGTGGAGGGAGGCGAAATAATGCACCGCACATGAAAAAAGTCACAATTGGAATTGGAACACTTAATTTTCAACTTTATAAATTTGACAATTTAAATGCTAACCATGGATATATCCATGATACTAACGCCTGTGACGCGATTATCAAAAGCATTTACTGTTAATTTAGATTTTTAATTGCGGCATTAAATATATTTATTTAGGGAATTAATTGATACAAATTTCAGTTTAAAGGCCTTTTTTATATCAGGCACTTTTGTAGAAATAATCATCTTCAATCAATCAATTAGCTTGTAAAGCGCTATTCCCGCTATGTTCAACGGCGCTCCACAATGAATTTTACAAACATATGGGTCTTGAGATCCGCTACTTCTAAGATGTTCCCATTGAATTATATAATTCCATGGATGTTCCCTTCTCATTATTATTATTATTAACATTTTTTTTCTTTTGACGATCGATTAGGAACTAAATGCCTTTTCGAACTAATACGTTTTCATTATTTGAAAAAACTGACAATACTATCCATTCATATATATAATATATATTCAAATATATATATATATCCATTCATATATATATATATATATACATATATATAAAATCCAATATATTTGAAACTGCAGTCTATGTAAAAACTACAAATAAAAGAATTTGCCTTAATGGAAAAAGTGAATGCATTGAGCAATTTAAAATTAGGACAACAAGAGCATTTATCAACCGCGCCTTCACCAATTCATCATCAACCGAAAAACGTGATGCGGAATTGAAAAGAATTACGAAACTCTTAGTAAACAATGGATACTGCACAGTAATGTTTGAGGATATAATTGAAAATAAATTACAACAACTCAGCAACCCACAATATAATAATCCATACACTGACATCATCTTTTAATATAGGAATTATATGAACACCAACTGCAAAACGAACAAATCCGTCTTAAAAACAAATCATCTATAAAAATGTCAAACCAACTAACCCTTTTGACAAAATTAAACTACGAATTTGTTATAGGAATGCAAAGACATCAAACCTTGTCATGAACAACAGCTGCAATCCTCAGTGAGCTATAAACTTTTGTACTTCACATGAGATAATTTTTAATCAAAATCCATTCTATCAAAGTTTTACCGTTTTTATATTTTTTTTACAAATATTTTTTCCTGTTTTTTTTTGATAAACCTAAACTCTTAAAAACCAGCCCCTTTTCAATATCTGCTCTATATAATGAGTAAACCAAATGCCAACGATGTAAGTTTTGTGGTGGTGATTTGAGCATCAAAAATGAAAAACTCACAAAGTGTTGTTTAATAATCTAAACGTAATTTAAATTCAACTTTAATGCTTCCACGCGACCTACTTAATTTTGAAAATAGTCAATGTTTATAAGTATTGAATACATTCTTCCGTGGACACTCATTAACACGCGACAACGATTCTATCTTTACAATTTCACATCATAAGCAATACATGTCACTAATTTGACGATAAAGACAGGCACGAAACACCTGCTGAGTTTCATTTAAAAGTGGATCGTGTTCAATTGTGGTGATATAATCCCAACAAACATTATGTATCATATCATATTTAATCCCAACAGACATGATATATGATAACCAATTACACCTATCATATATAATTAAACATTTTGTTTCATCATATCAAAGAAAACAGACTCTATGAAATGAAATGATCTGGAAACCAAAAGTAATTGTTTTTGTGGCGTTCAGCAGTCCCTTTTAAAAACCACATCTTCATATAACACCAAACAACATTTTCAATCTAATAGATTTATAATGAACTTAAAAACCTGTTATGTATAATAATATAATCAATTCAACAGATATCATACATGACACATATTTGATACCAAATTATGAAAATCTACATGCTGGATACCAAACAACGAAAGACTTCATATATGATAGAATGGATCGTGTTCAAATGTGATTTTATTTAGGTCTTAAAACGACAATAGAGATCAATGGCATCTATTGTTTTTGCCGATTTTCACAATTCTTAGCACTAACTTAGGCCATCTCTTAAAAATCCAACGTTTCCAACTCAGTCTGTGATGCCATCCATTAAAGCCTTGGCTTGTTTATCCAATTCTATATACCAGGAGTGGGCCAACTGCAGCCCGCGAAGCTATTTTATGTGACCCGCGAAGCCTTGTTTGCCAAACGTTAGGAACAAAAAAAAAACCACAAATCTGAAATCTTAAAAAAATTCTCCCCAGGGTTGAAAAAAATTTGCTATTTAAGTACATAATCATATCAAGGGTAAAATAGTTCCCAATGCAGCCCTTACAGCAAAAAGTTTGCCAAAAGTTTCAAGCACTTTATTTATGTAAATTCAACCCACATACACTTTTCATCGTTTGTTGCTTGATGATGTTACACCGATTTTAATTTATTATCAATATTCTTTTTAATCGTGTAATAAATCTTTGCATCGTTATATTAACATAAATAATATCGCTCTTCTAAAGCGCTTAATTCATATATATATATATATATATATATAAATATATATATATATATATATATATATATATATATATATATATATACGTAAGAGCAGGTTTCCGTGAAGATGTGCGTTATTGAAAAATATCACGAGAGATGTTAAATAAATCATTGCTCATTATTCTTACATTAGCTTATTTATGTGTATGCTTATATATATATATATATATACATATATATACATACATATATATATACACACAAAATAATTATATACATACATATACAATAATTGTCCTGTATATATGCATATATGTGTGTATATATAATGAGTAAGCGTGTGAACGAAGGCATTTTAGAAAGCGTGCGGCGAGAGTTGCCCGAGTAAGCGACGATAATTAACTGTACAGAGGGGGTTGATTGGTCACACGGCTCTTCCCCGCCTCAACAAATACGATGCAGTTTTGTTTCTGGCAATTTTGTTTATTAGTAATTTCTGCTGAAATCATGTTTGGAAGTGGTTATAATAACAGCAATAGTAATAAAAATACTACTACTACTAATAAAAATAATAATGTATCACTCTTCAATTTGGCGTTTTCGTCGTCATCATCAGCTCTTAACAACATCTCATTCACGTCAGAAATTTCTGAGGTTGCTCCTCTCAAAACAAGTTTCTTTCAGACAAAAACTGGTGAGTACCGTACCATATCATTTGTATTGCCTTGTAACTTCTGTGTATTGTTTCATCAATTTTTTTAATCGTATTGTATGCGAATGAACCAATGCAATAATTTCATAACACCAAGCCATATTTAAGAGCTTTCAAAATAATATTACAACTTGCATCAAAAATTTAAAATGTCTATTCAAAGTTTCAATATTAATGCAATGTTTATTAACGTGTAAATTATGAACATTAATCATTCCTCTTCATCTTTGTCCCGTCTGTTGCACATTGAACTATCAATTGTCATTAACAAGTCAAACAACAACACTGTCCATTGAACCACCTGTTCGATCAGTTCAGTACGGACGACGAACGAACACATTGTTCTTGCGACGTTCACGTTTCATAATCGTGAGAAAGATTGGGCACAACGAAATTCGGTATACGGTCGCACTGTGTTTTTGCATTGTGTTTCACAGAGTAACATTTTATTCATGTTGTCGAATTGTGTTGCACAACCTTATGGTACTTTTCAAAGATGCACGCTGTACTACCTACAAATGAATAGAGACGATTGTCAATGTTCATTGGATCATATAGAATAAATTTTTGAAAATTAAACAGAAATGTGCGCGTAAACACATTTGAGTGCACTTCACTGGTCTGTCTGCATACATTAAAATAATAACTTGCAGTCGGCAACGTTGAGAACATTCGAATGAAAGTCATACTTTAAACGTAACATCGAATAAAAAACATTAACAAATATTTTCATTTCCTATTCATTTATGTTATTTGATTGCTTTTAAAAATTTCAACGTGAAATATGAGGATTACTTTGCATAAAATATTTTTCTGGTTGCCATTAATGTATTCTTGTGTATATGTGAGTGTGTGTGTAAGTGTGTGCGTGCACGCGTGTTTGTATGGTTGTACGAACTGGTTTTATTGATGTTAGTTGTGCGTGCGAATGGGATTGTGTTTGTTAATGGTCTTTCTGTGAAATGGGATAGCGCCTAACATTACGAATTGTTTTAATTCAACGGAAATTAACAAGGTTTATTTACAAGTTAGTTTTATGTAATGTTTTTATATGAAAATAGTACCTGATTTGTAGTCCTTTTGTGATGTTACATTTAGTCGTTCCAAAATATTGCAATATTGCATGCAATACAACCACACCCACACATAAATTAAATAATGAAAGCTTTCAAGTTTTTGAATAATTAAATCATTTTGGGTTAAATTGAAGATTGGACACGAGTGACAGGCTTGTAGCTTATTTTTAAACGACATTCACAACTATTTTTTTGAACATTTAATTGAAACACAACCATCATTGCAATGATGCTAAAAGTTTTGGACATATTTTGGACTTAGG